GAAGCTGTAATTTATAATACATATATACTACCAACAAATAATAATAATAATCTTTTTCTTTTTTTATTATCATTATTGTTATTGTTATATACGTTGAAATTCATCTGGCGTCGAGACAATGGGATTAATCCCAATCGACTGGTCCGACGTCAGAAATTTCAACCTCAAAGTTGCCGAAACAAGATTGCAGCTGAATCGCTGAAATCAAGTTGGTTGCGTTCGTTTCAGTCTACGCAAGGAAGAGGTGGCAGCACTGTCCGGCCCAAACGAGTTTGCGGAATTTTACACGCGTTTGAAGTCCATCCGCGATTTCCACAAGCTGCATCCTAACGAGGTGAGTGCAGGTGTTAATCACAGATAAATTCGGGCTAATTGCAGGTAGCTACTGATTAATACAAAGGTACGAACGCAAAAGTCCAACTAAACGTACGATAATTACATGCGAATATTGGCTAAATACAGGTAGGTACTAGTTAATCACAGGTAAATACTAGTTAATCACAGGTAAATACTAGTTAATCACAGGTAAATACTAGTTAATCACAGGTAAATACTTGTTAATCACAGGTAAATACTTGTTAATCACAGGTAAATACTTGTTAATTACGGGGTGGATACTGATTGAAACGCTGATAGGAAATTAAACGTGCGATGAATCGCGTTGCTTCAGATTTCCGTGCCCATGTCAGTGGAGTTTGATGAGCTGGCCCAGGCAAGAGACAACCCCGCCACGGACGACACAGGTGAGTGGCGAGATCGCACGGCTTTCCGATTGCGTATCCTGCAGGCTTCGCCTTTTCACGAGGCCGATCAGCCCAAGTCCTATAAACAGCCCCACGGGGTGTCCACGAGGCTTTTTTTTCCGAGCCCTGTCAAATTTTGAGATTCCAAGAATCGAAAACGAAAATCGAATCGAGAGAGAGCGCCGGTTCTTATAAATTCATATACGAAATAGTAGGGAATACGCGCAGTAACAATACATATATATAAATGTAACAAAGCTTTTATTACATCGTTCATCAGTTTATAAAATCAGTTATGGAAATATATGCCGACTTTTGCGTATGCGCGCGCGCGTTGCAGTGATGGCTGAATTCACGGACGAGGAAGGATACGGTAAATACCTCGACCTGCACGAGTGCTTCGAGCGATTCGTCAACCTCAAGGGCATTACCAGGGTCGACTACCAGTCGTACCTCTCCTCCTTCGATCAGCTGTTCGACATTCCAAAGGACAGGAAGAACTACGAGTACAGGAAGTAAGTGCAAGCACAATAAAGGATATACAGCAATAAGTAATAAGTAATGCTGTATACGCCATATTTTTTGCGTACAGATTTTTTCGCGAATTCAGACTGGACGGACACTTTCGCGAGTGGTTAATTTTGCGGTCGGTGAATTCCCGAATCGGTGAAGAACAGCGTGTTGTTATTTTCGCGGTCGGGGACGCGTTCGCGAAATTGGCGAAAATTAAACCACTGCGAAATATACAGCATAATACAGTAGTATACTAGTAAGTCAGGAATTAGGAGACCGTCGAGTACATTAATGATCTCAGTGCATCGCTGGGATGAGATCCTAGGTTGACGTATCCCTCCCAGCGGATGGTTGGTGAAGTAGAGGAGCCAGGAGTTTTCCTGTCGCCGTCACTTATTTACCGCTATCGTTTCTATTTTCATTACTTATTTTTTCGTAGAATCGCGAATAAAATACAAACATAGTAAAAAAAGTTAAAACGAGTGTTATGGGTTCAGCGTGCAAAGCCTCGCTTCCTCCATGCTCTCTCTCTCTCTACGCTTGAATCTCTTCCCGGTGTCTGATCGCAGGTACATAGAGATGCCTGGACTACCATCAAGATACGGGCAGGGTGCGGTCCCAGCCTGCCTTGATCTTGCATCGAGAGGATGACCTCTATCCCGGCGATCGAATTCGCCGCCAAGTGGGAAGGCGGCTCGTTTCCCGGATGGCCGGTAGATGGGGGGGCGGGGCGTTTCGCAGGATGCCGTAGTGGGGGAGGCGGGCGTTTTCCCGGATGGCTGCGGTGATGGGAGTGCGGGCGTCCTGGAGGCCGTGAGTGGGCGGCGGGGCGTTTTGCCCGGTGGCGTGATGGGGAGGCGGGGCGTTTCCCGGATGGCCGGTGAGTGGGGAGGCGGGGGAAAGGGAAGTTAAAGGGAAGTGTAAGACTGCGCATAGTTCTCCTGGAAGCAGAATATGGGCCGACATTTTCAAACATGGAGGTGGGGAGCATTAAGCACCGGTAGCTGCCAAAGGAAAAAACTGCACGGCATCTTTGCGTTCTCTGTTCCGCGCGACACTGAAAGAGATTGTCTCCGCCTACTTACCGCATACAGTTTCGCATCCCGATCTGTACAACTATTCACCGTTTTGCTACAACGAAAAATCATTCCTAATAATTTATATGAAGAAAATAAGAAAAAAAATGAAGAAAAATTCACCTTCGGCCTACATGTCATGTCCCATTGTGTGTTTCTGACGCCGTGGCAGAACAGAGACGTCGGGGGCGCTGGCGCACACGGGCGCTCACCTCGACCTCTCGGCCTTCTCCTCAGCAGAGGAGCTTGCCTCTCTCGGTCTCGATCGTCTCAAGTCTGCGCTGATGGCCCTCGGGTTGACAGTCTGTTGGCGGAACATTTCCTGGAGGAGAAGGGCCAACCGACTGTTCAGCACAAAGGGAAAGAAGTGAGTGGTGAGGGAGGAAGGGAGAGAGGGAGGGAGGGAGAGAGAGGGAGGGAAGAGAGGCCGAGAGAGAATGAGAAGAAGGAGGTACAGACAAAGTAAGGTGAAGAAAGAGAGAAGAGAGAGAGAGAGAGGAGAGAGAGATGAAAGAGAGATGAGAGGAGAGGGCAAGAGGTAGGGAGAGCTAATCGACTATTAAGCACAAAGGGAAAGAAGTGAGTGGTGAGGGAGGGAGGGATGAGGAAGAGAGAAAGAGAATACAGGCAACGAGGGAGAAGGAAAAAGAGAGAGAGAGAAAGAGAGAAGATAGGAAAAGCGAGTGAAAGTAAGAGAGTTAGAGAGACAGATAAAGAGGGAAGAGCGAATGAAGAGACAATCGCACCATAGAGGCAGAGGAGAGAGAGAGTGAGCACGAGAGAGAGAGAGTAGAAGACGCCGAGATAGAGAAGGAGAGATGAGAGAGAGAGAGAGCGCGAGAGAGAGGAGAGAGAGAGAGAGAGAGAGGAGAGAGAAGAGCGGGAAATCAGACAGTAACTGCTTCCTCCTATCTATGTAAAACCGCCTTCTCCATATTGCTAGGCTGGAGAACTCGACTCTCTCTCTCGCAAAGTCGAAGCCGGGGAAGGTTGGCAAGAACGCTCGCGACGTAGAGAAGCAGAGAGAGGTGGCGCTACTGGAGGCGCAGCTCTACCGTCTGGTCGAAGTCTCGGAGTAAGCCGGACAGCGACGGGGCTCCAATCGTGTGGCCGTCGCCGTCGTGATTTCAACACTTAAACTTAACTAACTAATTTGAGATGAAATAGGCAAGCAATGTATATTCACGAATAATATTTGAACATTGTCGACGCTAACCTTTAACAACATCCTAAATAATAAACAATAATATCAATTATACGAGGATCAATAACAAGAATGATCTTCGACTGAATGCTCGTCCGTTAGGTCGGCCATCGCCGAACGTGATGACTCTCTCCGTTTCGTGGCGACAGGTAGCAGCGCGTTCGACGAATAGGAGAAGTAACGAGAACAGCGAAGCGCAGGGAAGAGGACGATGAGACGAGGCGTAGTCGAAGGAGGTCCGACGGAGGATGACGACGACAGACAATCCCATACAACCCGAAGAATCACCGTAGGGATGGACGGGGAGAAACGACCTACTTGTGAGGAGGTGGGGCAAGACTTCGTAGGCCAAGGGGGGGGAGGGTCTGCCCTCTGACCCCCAAATCAAAATCATAATTTTCTTTTATAATTATTATATGACGTTAGTCACACAGCATGGTCGGGCTATGTGCGTGTAGAGCTGCAGAAAATTAGTATTTGTCACTAAAACAGCGTCCTAAATGAATTTATAAAGCACACATTTGACTTTACTCAAACAAAAATTTCATACACACGCATAACGCCTGTGTTACTCGTCGAGACGCCACCCGCCAATCCAAATCCTGCTTCCGCCTTGCGGTTTTGGGGAGTCCGTTCAACATTCGCAGCCAAGCATTCATTCTGTTTCGACATCGCTCGCTAACATCATTGGTTGTCAACAATTAGCCGCAACCCGCCCGCCCCCGCCACCGGGGCCCGCCCGATCCCCCACCAGCCGCCACCCCCCCACCGCGCCCCCCCAATTGATTATAACATTTTGTTGTCGACATACACCCCAACATCATTGGTGTCGACATTCACCGCCCCAACAATATCATGGTTGTCGACATTCACCCAACATTCATTTGTTGTCGACATTCACCCAACATTCATTTGTTGTCGACATTCACCCAACATTCATTTGTTGTCGACATCATCGAAGCCATTCATTTGTTGTCGACATTCACCAACATTTCATTTGTTGTCGACATTCACCCAACATTCATTTGTTGTCGACATTCACCCAACATTCATTTGTTTGTCGACATCACCAACATCTTCATTTGTTGTCGACATTTCAGCCATACATTCCATTTGTTGCGAATCAACTCCAACATTCATATTGTTGTTCGACATTCACGCACCAAACATTCCATGTTGTTGTCGACATCACCCACATTCATTAGTTGCTCCGACATCAGCCCAACATTCATATTGTTGTCGACATTCACCCGAACATTCATGCTTGTGTCGACATCCCAAACATATCATTTCTTGTCGGAACATTCAACACGCAAACATCATTTTTGTCGACATATCACCCACATCATTTGTTGTTCGACACTATCACCCAACATCATTGTTGTCACGACATTCACCCAACATTTATTTTTGTCGAGCATGTTACGTAACGTTTAACTTTTTGTTCAAACATTTACGATAACTTACTTTTTGTCAACATTTACGCAATGTTTACTTTTTTGTCGACAAACTAATGTTTACCCCTTCAATTTAGCTTTCAACCTTTGCCTAACGTTTCTTTTGTTTTTTCAACCTATAACCTCGTTTTATCACACCTTTTTTTATTCTCAACATCGCAATATTTTTTTCAACGTTCAAAGATTCGCGTAATTTACTTTGCATGGATGCCGTAAAATGTTAATAATTAAAACTAATAATTAAATTATAATTAAACAATAAATAATTAATAACCTAACTAGTGTTTCACGGTGTTTACTGTTCTGCTATCCAACAGGTTGTACAAACTTCACGGTCTCAACATTTCGTATACGTGCGAGATTTGTGGAAATCACACGTATAAAGGACCAAAGGCAAGATTACTCAGAGCGGAAAAATGCTTTGCCTGTGAGTACAAAGTACTTTGTGCAACCTGGGGCATCCTAAAAAATCTATGTTGCTGTCTCCGCGCGAAACCCACGCAATAGCAGCGACGACCAAAAGGTTTTTTTTTACATTTGTGGTTTCATTTTTATATTTTGTTTATTTATTTATTATTATATGTCTATATATAATAAAAGTATAATATATAACTAACTTCTACTAGTATTCTCTGGAAGTGCATAGTTACTAATCGCTCATAGTAAGACTGAAACACAAGCAATGCTGTGGGCCAAACATTAGGACTGACCTAAATAACTAGTATCCTCACAAAAAAAGACCCTAACCTACCTACTACTAGAGAATCATGGTCGGGGGACAGCAAACATAGAACTTAAGGATGGCCTCGGCAGTCCTGTGGGGCGCCTTCGTCCTTCTCTCTGCTTTCTCTCTCGCCATCGATTCAGTCAACATAACATAATGTTGCCCAATCACCAATTCATCAATCCTGAAGCGCAAAAGTTGAGGATGATTCTTTCTGTCTTATCACTCGCCATCAATTCATTCAACGTTCTATTTCTGATGCGCGTCGCTACCGTGAAACAACGAAGTTAAGGCTAATTCTTCTTGTATTTCTTGTTGTTGTTGTTATCATTATTATCATCATTGTTATTATAAATCGTTATTATCGTCGTCATTATTAGTAGTAGTAGCAGAAGTAGTAGTATCAATTTGATATCGTATATATTAGTCGTATGTCGTGGTTGTAACCTTATGTGATCTCTCTGCGTTCCACCGCGTCCGCCGCACCACGCCGTGTAGGAATGGAGACACGCGCACGGCATGAGATGTCTCGGCATACCAAACACCGCTCACTTCGCCAACGTCACCAAGATAGAGGACGCCATCGGACGTGAGTCTCGTCGCCGCGGCAACCGCGCGCGGGGCGGTGGGGGAGGGGGGCACGCGAGATCTTTTTGGGGGGAAATCAAAACGAAGAGATGTTGATTCCGAAGCGGCAAGTTTGTTCCGATCGAGTCCATCTGCGATTCGCAATTATTATTCATTATTGTTAATATTCATTGTAACTATAGTTATATATATTAAACAATATAGTTATTGTTTATTTTCGGGGGTCTGACCCGATGATATTCGTGGAAAATTTTATTCGCTCCCCCTTGTTCCCTTCATTCTCCTGCAGTGTCGGTATTTAAGCGGGCAAAAAAATAATTCACCACCTTTCGTTTCATTCGTGCTCCCGCAGTGTGGGAAAAGATAAAGGTTTCGAAAGCGACCGAGAGATGGCGCCCCGATCAGGACGAGGAGTACGAGGACAGCCAGGGTAACGTCGTCACGAAGAAGACATACGACGATCTGAAGCGACAAGGCCTGCTGTAGGAGGAGCCAGCGAGTGGGAGAGAGAGGAAGGAGGGAGAGGGGGAGAGGAGGAAGAGAGGGGGAGAGGAGGAAGAGAGAAGAAGACATACGACGACCTGAAGCGGCAAGGCCTGCTGTAGGAGGAGCCAGCGAGTGGGAGAGAGAGGGAGGAGAGGGGAGAAGGGGAGAGGAGGGAGAGGAGGGAGAGAGGAAGAGGGGGAAGAGAGGGGGAGAGGGGAGAGAGAAGAAGACATATGACGACCTGAAGAAGCGAGTGGGAGAGAGAGGGAGGAGAGGGGAGAGGAGGGAGAGTGGGAGAGAGAGGAAGGAGAGGGGAGAGAGAAGAAGGGGGGAGGAGACAGACAGGGAGAGAGAGGGGAGGGAGAGAAACAGGGAGAGAGAAGGTGGGGAGAGGACGAAGAGAGGAGGGAGAGAGGAAGAGGGGGAGAGGGGAGGGAGACAGACCGGGAGAGAGGGAGGGGGAGAGGACGAAGAGAGGAGGGAGAGTGGGAGGTTTACCAGAGAAGACTACTATACTCGATGCGATACTTGACAGCGATGCGATTGTGTTAGAGAAGTTTGTGGGGTCAACTAAAATCGTGTGACCATTCGTCGTCTGACATGATACTGAGCGAGATCTATTCGTGCTATCATAGGGCGCGTTTGTTTGGTCGGATCCACGGATCACGATCCGATGGATTCGTTGATCTGACTGTTTGTTTGGTCGGATCACTTGATCTCGATCCACTGAACCCGACCCTGCTAGCGAGGCGGATTCGAACGGGATTCAATATGGTGGCCCGCGCCTCAGCCAATCACAGCTTGTTCTTTGTTATGAACCATCCCGTGATAGGTCACAGCGAAACGTAAACCGGTGAAAGTGAGTTTGCGTTTGTTTGGATTCGTCAGACGGATTCGTCCCAAACGAACGCGCCCGTAGATTCCAATTCTGAGAACGTGAATGCGTACACACAATCACTTGATATTTCTGCACGCGCGCTTCTCCGTTTTCTTTCGTTTTTCGCTTATCTAAAGACGTCGATTTCTGATTCCGTAAAGATTGAGGTGTGCGGCCGTGAACGAGTCGTTAAGACTAATCTGTGAGAGATAAGGATGGGTAGGAGTGTAACTAGGGCTGAGAGGGTCTATGTCCCCCAGGGTACTATCGGAGGGTACCCTGGGTACGGTTCGATATATCGGAAAGTACCTCGGGGTTCTATACGATATGTCACTGCGTACCCTGCATTGTCCCACCGTACCCTGACTTTATATGGACGTATTTCCGATGTTGTAAAACTAAAATACAATAGGTAGCTCTTTGTTTAAAAGAAGGGAAAAAGAAAAATATAGTCAAGCATAGCATACATTTTTATTGGATTGCGATGTTTTGAGGTTTCTTGCGATGTGATGTGGTAACTTGACAGAGTGTATGTATTACGACATCAGTTGGCTGAAAGTCAGGGTACGGTGGGACAATGCAGGGTACGCAGCGACATGTCGTATAGTACCCCGAGGTACTTTCCGATATATCGAACCGTACCCAGGGTACCCTCCGGCAGTACCCTGGGGGACATAGACCCTATGAGCGTAACTAGGACAGTGGCAGCATGGATCATGGCGCGTTGTCGCGTGTAGACACGAACATGTACATATATATACTCTCTACATGTGTTCGTGGCGTAAAGCCTTGTGTATGTTTCACGTGTATATAACGTATATCACGTTTTAATGGTGTTTTCTTAATAAAGTTTCGTCTTTATTGTGCGCACACATGATGTAAACTGTTTCGACCATATTTTGTTGTATCAACCTCGAGCTTTCAGTGCATCCCATGCAGGTTTGAGTAAATACACATATAAATCATGATAATGATAACAGCTGGGTATACATAGCAAATATTAGTCTGAATTTATATTAGATATAAATGAAAACAGACACAAAAACAACATGAAATGTATTTCAAGTCAAGATATGCACAATTTTATTAGGTAGATACAAAATATAATCTCACAGTTGCCCTTCCCCCCTTATGATGTGCCCCAAGTCTTTAATATTTCATATAGGTCATATAGTCTGAATATGCTTTCGAAATACACTAAACCTAATTAGGTCGATCGTATTCGTAATGCAGAGCGTTATAGTGGGTGATATATTAATCATGCCCTCTATAAATGGGATGGAAATAGATAGATATACAATATGCGCCTGTGCGTAAGTGATACTGATAGTAACATAATAGAGCCATTGCTCGCGGCTTGACCCGAGAAAGAATCATCGAATAGAGACTGTCACCACATCCGCCCGTTCTTAACTTCCGGTGATCTTTCGTCGATCGTAGTTAGATTCCAGACGATTCTTTGATCATAACACTTATTCCGAAGAACAGAAGGATGGATGATACACGGATACGTGCGCGGAGAAGGTCATGCGAAATTTATTCGGAGAAAAATCATTCATGACGTCATTACTACGGAGCTACGACAACGCGCGGCGCCTGTCTACGCACGCCAGCTGCTTGTGTCATGGCGTCCGGTGGTGATCTCTCAATCTCATATACTCCAGACCATCTTTTAGACGATGAAACAAATCCACTCGAAGACGAAGAAGTCGAAGTGGCGGCGCCGACAGAAGACGTTTTCGAAGTGGAAAAGATAGTCGGAGTGCAAAAGCAGGGGGTAATTATGCGTTAGTTCGTCCGCGATTCAAAACTACCGAGAGGCGTGTCAACAACAAGCATTCATTGTTGGGTTACCGCTTCTTTGCACACGCACGCAAGACTGCACGCAGTGACTTGCGACGTGTTCACACGCGGATAATATAAATGTAGGGCCAAGTATCGCACGCACTTTTGTAGTCCTTCTCGAACTCCCCACTCCCATAGTTCCCAGTCGAAAAGTTCTCGCCGCGTTCGTTTCATTTCGCCTTTCCACGAATTAGAATAAATTGCCCGATATGTACAGTACAGTATTCGGCTATCGTACAGTCAGCAGGGGATACGCTCACTGTGACAGTGTGTGAGAGACTGATGCGGCAGATTTACAGACCACGTTACCAGTTACACTTACAGCCTCTATATAACACAGCAAATTGCTGAGGATTTTTAATTGAGAGATGAGGGATGGTATACAATCTCTCAGCTTCTTCGTAAAAAAACTCCGCAGTGCGATTAATTCCGTCGTGGTTTGTGATAGACGGGGGGAGGGGTGTGTGATCGGCCCTAGTTAACTATACAACCTGCAGTGCTCTCTGCATGCATGGTAACTAGAACTGGGGGGTACTAATCTATGCTGATATACACTCATTATCGTCTCACTCGCACAAGCAAGGAAGCTGCTATAGTAACCAGTAACAAACTTCTCGGTGGATTTTCTAACATCTAGCCGTGCCACTCACTGTGTTTCCTCCTCTTCACCACACATTTACATATTGTAATTATGTATGCGTTGTGCATGCTCTGGCTCTGGAGCTAAACCTCCAAATGCCAGGCTATAAGTGCTCTTGGAGAACCCTATATATATATATAATCACGGATGATAATGACAAACCCCTGATATAATCAATGCAAAAATGCAACTTTCCCTTCACGATTTCAATCATGAATTCGATTTATTCGAGTAGGCCCGGCTGGCTCGCACGTATTATGCATTCCCCCATAAATCTCCGACGGAATAAATACATCTCTACGCACCACGTACGTGAACTTTACTGGCCAGGCAGTGTGCCACCGAATTAAAGACAATGTTCTTACGTCAATCACAGACGCATATAGGTCATGAACGCTCTCGCGACGCGGTGTAGACACTTCAGGCGCGGACAGAGTCTCGGCCGGCTGACGACTCGCCAAAAAATGCGCGCGCGTCTCCGCCGTAAAAAATGTGGACCGTGCTTGAAGGCCGAGCGTATAGATATGTGGCTGCATCTACAGCGAGCGTTGTGCGTCCGCCCCGACCTTCGTCTTGCGAAAGAGAGAGAGAGAGAGAGAGACAGAGATAGGGGGAGAGGAAGAGAGAGAGAGAGAGAGAGGGAGAGAGAGGGAGAG